TGGATCACTGTAAATGTGGCAGGATTCAAGATCTGTCTTCTGATTGTGACTCATGACTTGTCTATGCCTGTACTCATTCCAAAACAGTAAAAAAGTGATCAGCTCCCCAAACACTTGTCACTTGCATTTCTTCATATCAGCTGAGCCTTGCAAGCAGGTTGATAGGTATGCAAAGAATTATTAGTCTTAAAAACATTCGTTCAAAATTTGAGCCCAGGTTGGCTTTCACATTTCTTTTGTGGCACAGAATCCTTGAACATAGAATAATAGAGTTGGAAGGGACCTTGGAGGTCTTCTAGTCCAACTCCCTGCCATTTCAGACCTGGCCTGGAAAAACCCGGCTGACAAGTACTGGCAGATGGCAGAAACAGGGTCAACTAACTCTTCATTAGCATTTTGTGGCCATTTGGACTTTTGCAGCCTGGTACAACGTGGGCATGGCGCAGGTTCCGCCCTTTAATTTGTGCTAGTGAAGCAAGAGAAGAGCCGGCCTCTCCTGTAGACCAGGTGGATAGAGTTGGGCGTTCTTCCCACTGCCAACAATGTCCCATCCGTTCCCAGGGCCTGGCTGTTTAAACCTACAATAAATTCTACTTCCTGAGAGTTGAGAATGGGGGCTAGTGAAGCTCTACTGTTAAAGAAATCAGAATGAATGCTGTTATTTCAGAACTGTTATAAACAGGAATTTTGCCCAGATTCTGTCTACCGTTGTATTTCCGGTGTATGGAAGACATGAGTAGTTAAACTGCTTTTCTTTCAGGGAGGGTGGATATAAATCTTATGAATCGTACTGGCTTACCAATCGTACTGCAATTGGGGGGGGACAAGGTCATGCGCAGACATTCTTCCGATAGTTGGGAAGCTCTCATAGACAACGTGGTTGATTGCAATTTGTATGCATAGTGCGTGCAGCTCACATGCCGATTTTTGTTACATGCCTGCTGTTGAGGGTTGTTTTTTTTTACACCTTCGTGTCACTATGGCCTCTTAGCGGCTTCATGGGGGTGCACACAATTATTTTTTCACATGTAGATAACTACATATATGAATACCTGCCCTTTGTGCCCTGATCGGTGAATACTTGAGGACTCATGGCAGCACAATGGAAAATGATTGATGTTGCTAGTTTCTGGGCAAGATCTGTATAATTTGAACATATTTTAATCTTGCATTTTATATTTTAAATTTTATGTCATATAGTATGCCTTATTTTGTGATGCTTCTGACACCAATAAACAAACTTATGACAAATTCTGAAATTGAAATGACTATTCTGCGTGCCTTCTTACTGGTGCCACAAGTATTTTAATCGACATTCCAGATCGTTTCCTTTAAAAGCTATCCAGTCCACCCACATCTTTAACCATGCCCCCTCCCCCCTTCAGCTCTTCGCCGGGAACATAATCATCGCAATATCCAATAGGAAATCTTGCCACGAGCTGAGTGAGGGACCTGATGGGGAGGTGGGTTTTTCCATTGCTCCTTTGTTGGGGGCGTTAATGGCAAGTCGCCTGTGGAACTCTTCTGCGCACGTGCAAAAGTGTAACGGGAGGATGGTAATGGTTTCCATTTGAGAGAAGGGACCTTTTTCTCATTCCCTCCCCCCTCCCCTTATGCCTGAAAGATTGCATCTCGCTGGCCTCTGAGGCGAAAGGAAGGGGTTGCTTTCACAAAGCGTATCCGGCAAAGCAGTTGTAATCTCTTAAGGGCGCGCCGACGCAATTGGAGAGCTAGATCTACCGCTGCTGAAGAGGGCATTCCCGAGTCGGCGGGGAAGCTGCGCGCGCTTTTTTGTCCGGAGGGAAATGTTCTTCCTTGGATAGAGATCCGCCTCCTCCCACCGTCTGGGTTCTTTCCGAACAGTGTTGTAAAACGTCGGGATGCGCCAGAGGCTGCTGAAGCTTGAAACGGGTGTGTGTGTGTGGGGTGTTTGGTGCTTTGTCCCTGCTTCTTCCCAAGTATATTTCGTCTGCGGGAACGAAATGGGGAGAAGGTTCCCCGGTACATCCGTGAACCATTTTAGTGCCCTTTCTGCCTTTTATTTTCCTTCAGATGTCTTGTTAGGTCAGCCTAAGGGAAGAATAATGGAGCGGTACTGGTATGTTTTGGAACGAAGAGAGGCCATTGTAATACCTGGACTCTTGAGGTATGGAGGGATTTTCCGGGAGCCTTTATGAACAATACTGTACTGCAGTGTATCATGGGGGGGGGTGTCCTTTTTTCTTCCAATGGGCTGCTGTGGGCCCCTCGGAAGTTTCCTCTCCTAGTCCACGAGTGTCAAACTGGCTACGTCACGTGACGTGTCGCGACGTATCGCGACTTTTTTCCCATTGCCGGCAATGGGGTGGGCGCGGTTTTGGCACGATGCCTCTGGCCCGCGGGCCGGCAGTTTGATACTACAAATGGAGACTAACCTCTGGTTAGCTAACTAACCTAGTTTCTTGGGACTAGAGGTTAGTATCCATTTGTAGTCCTAATGCATTCTTTGAATGTTTTTTGTAAACCACCGTGCAAGCCAATATTTTCATTTTCTGATCGTTAAAACAACAGACATTTTTTACTTATATGAGCTTTTGTGATTTAGAGATGATCCCTAATTTCTTTTATTTCACTTGTCCTACCTGGCTTTTAATACAGTACTCCTGCACTTAGTCCTTTTTCCTTTTTTAACTACAGAATTGCAATCAATTTGATTATTAAAATGTATATTGGGCATATTTTCATAGAATGCATAGGATTCTGTAAACATAAAAGATGTGTGAGAAGCTCCAAGCAGTAGAAATCATTCATTCACTCTGAGGTGGACACTAGAGAGTGTGTGTTTGTTTGTATTCCTTGATGTACAACCGTTTGTTTAGCAACCATTCAGAGTTACAATGGCACTGAAAAAAGTAACTTACAACTGATCCTTGCACTTGGATTTGATGAGTTGACAGAGGGACATTAAAATCTCAGAAAAAGGGGGCCTGTTGATTCAGAAACATTCTGGTACCATGGATATTGCATCTATAACACTTGATGGGGTAGCATTTTCCTGAAGAAGTTAATGCTGAATCATGATATTCTCCTAGATTCAGTAAAAGCCCCCCCTCTCTGTAACAGTTTGCCCCATTCCTGAGATCAGATGTTTGTTTTGTATTTTGCAAAATGGGGATAATGATCCTTTGGAGATCATTAAAATGTACCTGATAGTGCAGCACATTTTATTAATTTTGTATTAAATATTTTTATTAACAGTAATTATTGGTTTTATGACTATTTATTAATAGTTTATTGTAATTCCTGCAAGCTTCCCAGAATTGTGGGAATGGACAGCAAACAAATCTTGACAAATAATAAATAAGTAAATCTTCAAGGCTGTAGTATAAGTTTCCTGAGTGTAGTTATCTTGATACCAGAAACAATAGATGTATTAGAGACACATAATATTTAAGAACATGAGTCTTTTACTATTTAATTTTTACTAGCTCTTTGGCATTCAGAACAAATGGGACAGGGTCAAAAACAGCCTGTCACATCACTTCCAACTTCTGCAAGCACTGCATTCTTTAGCCATGGAGGTCCACAGAGGACTGGGGCAGTCAGAGCCCAAAATTTCAATGGAAAGTACAAACGGCTGCTACCTAAATACGCATTTTGGAAAATGGGCTGGAATACCAATTTCCCAGCATTGACCTTGATAAACTGGACAAAAAGACCTGATTCAACACATTCCAGCCTTTCAAAATCTGTAATTCATACTTGCCAGATGACTAGTTACATTATTATCAACAGTAATACAACCTTGGATGAAATGCCATGAATCACAGAAATGTGACATCTAGTCCCATTATTGTTCAACTTTATTTTATTTATCCAATTTATTGGCTGCCCATCGTACCACAGGGTAAGAATACTTATATCAGAAACACTTCTACCCCATTCACTCTCACAATGGAAAGTTGACTAATATCTGTACTATTTTATGCAGATGCTGCTGCAGGGCTGCAGATATTAACAAGGCTTAGAAGTGCTGTGAGATCATTAACCCATGTTTGTAAGGAACATTAATTTCAAATAAATTAGTTAATTATGAGGGGGGAAAGCTAATGTGATTTCTGAGATTTTTTTTAAGTGACAGCTACTAAAGGCACATTAAATAGAGTATATTTTCTATCTGCACCTTGTATTGCAGGATTCCTGGAGACTACAATAGGCTATCATAATTCTCAAAGGATTCTCAGTACAGAATTACAAATAGAATATAGTAAACTCTTACCCAGAGCATTGTAGGAACATTTATCCATTTTTAAAATTTTAAACTAGCATTCTATCTTGACTAAACTACAAATTAAAAATATTGTAGAACTTTCACACAATTGCAACTAAGTATCTTGCTATCAAGGGTAAATTCCAGAAAACCTCAATATAGCATGGGATTGTGAAGACAGGCTCATGTTTTGCTTTATTGTAATTTACACCAAGATATTTTTGATGAGGTACTACAACCTCCTTTTAGCCCATTGCTTGGATAGACAGAATAATCTAATATTCAGGTTCTTTTGGCGGATAAAGGTCCTAAAACAACACTTGCCATTGCTAAATTTGTAACTGTAGAATTTATGCATTGCCAAATGCAAATTAGACTAGGCACAATTACATGCCCTTTTATGATGTGTCATATATTGCGTTGTATATTGTCTTATCTGAGGCCCATAATAAAGATGATTAACTTGACATTCATGTGATAGTTGCCATCATTTGTTATTGCTTAATTTTCTTTGTCCATATCTGTGTTGTGTGTCCAGAATCCTTTTGCCCAAATAATAGAACGTTCACTTATAGAACACACTCCTTTTTCTATTTTAAATATGATATTTTTAGAAGAGTGGCATTATAAAAATCTACACTCTCTTGTTGCAATGTGCTTGCACCCACATATTTTTTTAGATTTTTAAAACTCAAAACCTGTTCACTAGAAACATGCCATACCAGTAACAGCACATCAGAAGAAAAGATTTTATTTTTCTCAAAGAAAAAAGCAATATAAATATTAGAGTATAAAACTTGCGTGTTAACACATCAATATCAGTTACATGGATATAAGAAGGATATAAGCATATATATAATATATAAGTATAGCTCAATATTAGACACATTGGAGGGACAAGTAAGTGTGTTTCAATTCACATACAGTTAAAAGCACAATGAACACACATGAAGAAGATTCAAAAGAATATAAAATACTGATGTCCACAACTCAATTACTAAGATTAAACAAATAAAAAACACACATCACTAGGCACTACTACACTATTTTCAGGTGTAGATGAAAAACAAGATTAACTAAGATTCATCTATAGTACTTTGGGAAAGGTCACATGTTAACTACTTGATTACATAAGAAGCTTTAGGCACAATCCAGCAGAGGTGTACCTGCACAAACTGCATTGAGATAAATGGGAGCCATGTGACAGGACTATTGCGCTCTCATTTATTTAAATGTGGCTCATGCTACAGAACATCCCACTAGTTTGTTGTCTATTTCACTAACTATGTAAACTGTTTCTAGTGCAGTCACCAAAGAAAAAGTTGATGGAGAAGCATTTGGGATCACTACAAAACCCATATGTAGACAGAAACTTCTTGTAGACAAGTCCTACTTTCTAGACACAGGGAAAGCATCAAATAGTGTATAAAATGCTCTTAGCAGTGACAACAACATAGCCAATCAGTTTGGGAGGCAACTTCGGAAACTTGTCATATGTTTGGACTGACCTGTTTTGACTATTTCAAGCAAGCTATTACAGTGTAAAATAAAATCTTGGACTAGTGGTTCGCCCTCCATGTTGGAAATATGCTCCTCTGATTCTTTATGGCTCTTTTGTTGCAACAAAGAAAATCATAAGATAGTACAGGAAACCTACAATATATCTAGAAAGGCAACCAATGTTGCCAAGTAACATTACAATTTCCTACCTGACTCAGAGTGCCATTACATTATGGGCCAGAGTTAGGAAACTTCACTTCTTGTCCATACTAGGCTACGAAATGATCCAGTAAAAAAGAGTAAGTCTAGCAATTTCAAAACACAGTAACACAAATTGTATTTTTAATATTTTAATTTCTATTCATATCCAAGAAGAGGTAGTGGGAGGGGTCTCAAATTGCCTGATTGTATCAATACAATGTCATTTGTTTAATATTTATAACAAGTTCAGGAATAAAGTGATTGGCTTTGCAATTTGTCCAGTTCTAATTCCAGTATACCTTAATTGGGCCTGGTCCCTTAACTTTCCCAAATCAGCCACTGTCTACTTAATATAAAATTGTGAAGGCCAACATTATTTTTTAGCTATACTGCACAGAGAAATGAAATACACAAGCTTCCCAATCTCTGAGGAAGGGCAATGCATCTTGTTAGTGATAAGTGTTACTCATAGACAGTGCTGATGTGGGCACTTGAGAGCATATTAACATGCTGTTCATGTCATGCAATAAATTTTCCAATTCAAGCTTGGGTGTGAAGTCAGCTGTCCTGTAAATGTGAAGTGATTTGCATGCAGTTTGATGTGCAGAAAAATGTGAAGCATTCTATTTTTAATGGTCTACCTATAAGATCAGCAGAGCTCATCCAGTTAACAAAGACATCTCCCTCAGGAGTCAAGCAAAGATATGAGCAGTAGCTCACTATGCTCACAAGTGAGTGACTTTTTTCTTCAAATTTTTCTAGAAAACATTTACTGTACATACTGATGTAGATGAGATGTGTTGCCTCTTTAGAGATCACTGTAAATCAGTCATGAGTGACAGTGTTCTCTGTCTTGCTAATATCTACGACATATTTTGTGCATGGAAGTTTTTCCCATTGCAATGCACTCCTTGCTTCTCAGAAATTACAATGTCAGTTTAATTTTTTTCTGGCCATCATTGGTTAAACTTGTAAAAAAGATAAATGTAGCTGAATCTCATTCTCTTATAATAATACAGGATACACATTTCTTTTAAAACAAAGCAGGAATTAAAGCACTCCCTATCAATATCATAACAAGGATTCCAGCTGAAATGATGTCTAACCCTCCCCCCCCAAGAACTTCTATCAAAATTTGGAAAAGTGAGAATTTTTGTAAAAATGAAGGAACTTATATAAATAAAAAACTCTGTTCAGAATAATTATTTACAATGAGCAGAGCCCATCCTAAATTTTGTTGGTGATGCAGATCGTTCAGGAAAGAAAATGTTTCTAAGATCTGACACCCTTGCATATTAGATTGTCCTCAAAAGAGTATACACTGTATTTGTTATTATTCAGATATTTTTCTTCATGAATAACAGCAGTACATCTACTCATAATCTTAGATGACAACAACAATGTACATTCACAATGTTCCATATTTTAAAAAAAGTTTAACCACAAATTCACATTCATCTTCCATCCTAGGCTATGAACTGGGGGAGTGCTGGAAGAGTTTGCCCTTTAGATTTACGTGGAAGTGGCTGTGTTATCCTGTGGATCCTACTTCTTCTCTTTCTTTCCTGACTTCTTCTTATTTCCCCCTCCAGAGGCTGCCGGTTTTCCATCACGTTTGCCAGCAGAATTGGAAAGGGTAGCAGTGCTCCCAGGGATATACACGTTCTGTCTATAATCAGGAACATGCTGAAGGGTGAATTGGGGGCCATACCTGGCGCTGAGCCCCATGGTGCCTGCTGTTGCTCCTCCTCCCAGAGTAGAATTTCCATCTGGGTTAGCTGCAGCGGCGGCAGCAGCTTCTGCAAGAGTATTAGGAGAGGAAGAGGGGAAATAAATAGGTTTTAAAGTAATACTTGAGTAATGTCACATATATGCAGATTTGACTAAAAAGAATTTTCTCTTCCCTGCAGTTCAAGAGGCATATGGTTTAGAAAATATTAGATTATACAAGCATATCTAAATAAATTTCTAATATCTGCTTGAAACATGAAGAACAATTGCCTGAATTCCCTGAAAAAAAAACCTTGTATTATTAGTTCCTCTAGTGCAGTGATGGCGAACCTTTTAGAGACCGAGTGCCCAAACACTGGCCCCGCCCCCGCTTCACCCTCTGCCCCGCCCCCACCCTGCCTGCCCGCAGAACCACTCACCACCTCCAGGGCCCGCACATCACCCAGGCAGCCCAGCAGCACCATGGTGGCCACACCCTCTGCCCACGCCCCACAGCATCAACTGTGCGCGATGGGGCGTGAGGGCAAAGTCTTGTTTACGCTGCCTGGCTGCCATGTCCTTGGCTGTGCTGCTCCACATGGGTCATGCTCGGGGGCAACTCTCCAGGAGGGCTGCTGGTGAGGAGCGGGTTGCGGGGGGAGGCAAGGATGGGGCAACGGCACATGTGCCCACAGAGAGGGCTCCGAGTGCCGCCTCTGGCACGCATGCCATAGGTTCGCCACCAATGCTCTAGTGAGAGAAGTAACATATATTGCCTCTCCAATAATTATGTATTCCAGTCTCTGGAGCTTCCAAAACATATACAGGGTTGATATAATCTGCATATATAGATTTACTGTTAAAAATAAATAAAACAATAATAATAACAACACCCAGAATTAATATTATACTATGTTTAAACCATTGCAATAATTTTGAACACCTTGAAAGACCTCTTCCTTCTCCCTTTATTCAAAACAAAAATTTAATTCAAACATTGATAGACAGTTGTACTGCCCACCAAATGCAGATTTTTCCTTCACTATTGTATAATAATTATTTTGGCTATGTCCGATAACGGATATGGCACAACAACAAGAAGAAGAATCAACATTCACAAAATATCACAATACTCAATGTCTTGATAAGTTTGAAATATTGTGGAATTCAGCTTGGCACAATTTATAAATCCTTAACCCACAACAATGGGTCTGACGTTCTGCTATTAATGCTAGACTTTCAACCCCAAGTGCAATAATAATAAGACAGAGCACATGAAATAATGTTTTGGCTGCTGAAGTACCTCTATAATATGCACCTAAAATCTCTCTGAGATAACTTGTTATACTTATGGTTGGTTGCACAGTCAGATAGAAAACATCAGACTGGATTTGGCATTGTAGTCCACCTATCAATTTCTTCTCAAGGAGCTGGGATAGGCTGATATTGTTTGATGGTGTTAAAAATATTTAACTGTTCCAAGTAAAGCTGCCTTTTGCAATAGACTGATGGTGATTTTGTCAATACTGATCCAGAAATTTTGTGAATGCATCCAATTATCCAGACTTTTACCCAAGCTTTTTTGTCTTTATCTTATTATTATCATTTAAATTTATATGCTGCCCAATTCACTTCATTTTAAGATCAAAATAAACTAATTTCACATTCTTTAAAAATCTCTTCCACTGAAGTATGAGAACAGAATATTTGAGTACTGTATTTTTTATTATTCATGTTATAAATTCATTCAATATCTTGTATCAGTTTATGGGATAGTTAACATCCATACAGAGAAAGAAATCAAGACACAAATTTTATCAGACAGCATGAAAAAATTTATATCCAGAATTGTTAAGTACTCCAAGAATGTAAAATAAGGAAATAGTAGCTATATAGGAATTAGCAAGTTCTGGTACCATATACAGGTAGTCCTTAACTTACAACATTTCATTTAGTGTTACAATGGCGCTGAAATGTTTTTCATACTTACAACTATTACAGAATCCCCATGGTCATGTGATCAAAATTTAGATGCTTGGCCAACTAACTGACTCATATTTAGGATGGTTACAATATTCCAGGGTCATGTGATCACCTTTTGTGGCCTTCTGACAAGCAAAGTCAATGGGGAAACCATATTCACTTAACAACCATATTATTAATTTAATAACTGTAGTGATTTCATTTAACAACTGCGACAAGAAAGGTTGTAAAATGGGGTAAATCTCACCAAATGTCTTAGTTATCAACATACATTTTGGGGTCCATTGTGGTCGTAAATCGAGAACTACCAATTTATAAATTCTAAACCTTAAAATTTCAATATGCATAGTATTATCTATTTTACAGTGCAATTAAAGCACAAAAAGTTCTCAAATTTACTTATAGTTCCAAACCATCCAATGAATACATTTAATATAATATTTTATATAATATGCAGTGACTATTGAACTAGTTTAACATAAGAGACACTTTAGTTTTCTTGCCATCAAGCACAAATCTTTTGCAGTACATTTTATACTAATTTTAAAGGGTTGTGAGGAGGGATGGGAATGCAGCACTAAAATAGGCTAGATTATTTGTGGAAACTGACCATTTGCTGATGCTAAAATCATAGCCTGAAGCATTTCGGTGTCAAACTGATTGTTTGGCCAAGTTCCATTTTCATCTCCATTCTGAGATCTAAGAAGAAACAAAGCAAATGAAATATATGAAAAGTACAATAGAAGCAAAAAGAAAATATGTACATTTTTATTGATTGATTTTATTTATATGCTGCCTTGATTTTTTTTCACATAACATGTATCGAGGCTCATTCTTGGTATTTATAATTCCCCCCATAAGTAGATTAACTTCTCTGATATTAATATTACTTAGATAAACTAACTTACCAATACATATTAGTTCCTGGAAAAATACACATCTTCTACATTATGAACTTTGGCTCTGAATGTTTGATGGCTATTATCACACGATTGCTGGTTTTTTAAAAGAATTTTTTTCCTTCTGCTCAATCGTGTCTGTTTCTTGGAGACTGCCTGGACAAAGTTCCTGCAGTTTACTTGGCAAGGATTTTCAGAAATGATTTGTCATTGCCTGCTTCCTAGGGCTGAGAGAAAGTGACTGGCCCAAAGTCAGGCAGTTGGCTTCGTGCCCAAGGTGGGATTAGTACTCACTACACCAGACTGGTTGCTTTAATGGTATCTTTGTGCAAGTAACATTGATTCTAAATTTTAAAGGAAGATAGGACATTGGATTTGCAGCTCAGGGCAATTAAGACAGATTTTACTCACCTAATGTGAAATGGGCAGTTCTGTTAGGTCTGTTCAGATTCAAAGTTCCAATTTGATTTCCTTTTATGTAATTTCATCATACTTTAAGTGGCTGTATCATGACAGGTATGCCAATTTGTTTTTTTAAACCACTGGTACATGATTGCATAAAAAAATGCAATAGGGTGAGTGGGAGAACAGTTTCAGAAAGTAACAGGCCTATCCATAAGTCAAACCTTTGCAATGAGACCCCTTCTGACTGAAGAGATGGTGGCCTATATTACCCTTTTATATGTGCAATTATTGAGCTAGCTATTCCCCATCTTGTGCTTGTGCATTTCATTTCTTTTTTCTAGCTGAAGAAATTTAAATTTCATTCTATTATTTTCAGCTCACTTTTCTAACCTATCAAGATTGCTTTAAAATTTATTCAGTATTCTGGAGCAGTAGCTGTCCCACCCAGATGTACATTTGTAAGAATTCCCTCATCTCTTTACAGAAGAGTTTAATAAACATAAGGATCTTAGAAAGACAGAAACATTTGTAGAATGAATAAATATTCAGGGTCAACTCCATTAAGAAGGGATATAAGAAAGGCAATGGACCAGCCGACAAATAGAAAACAGCCAGATTCAAATAAAATACACATTGAACTATTTAAAGCTAAAAGGGAAAGGTCAGTTCACGTGCTAACAGTTCTGTGTCATCAAATATGAAACAAAATCATGTGGCCTAGAGATTGGAAAAGACTGGTACATGTGCAAATTATCTAAGTATTACATACTGAACCATTACCGTTTTTACTATAAACTAAATTCAATGGTTGGTAGTATAACAAGTTAAATAAAATAAACCCATTTGCTTAAGATCTTTCAAAGAAGAATAACGACACGAAATTAAAAAATGTCATATGAACAGGCAGGTTTCAAAAAAGTCTAAAGACACGAGATAACAAAACTAATGAAAAGAAATCAAGAAGAGGCACAAATATATGTTATATAAAGAAAGATTTTGACTGTGTATATCAGGGTAGAATATGGAACACATTAAGTCTAACTAGCAACTAGTATCCTGCTGGGTCACAACAGAGGAAAAAAATGACCATAGGTAGGAAAAAAGCAGTGGCAGCGGGAGCAAATTCCAATGATCCATAGGGTTCCCCATTGAGCTGGCAGTATTAGAAAGCTTCCTTCCTTCCTCCCTCCCTCCCTCCCTCCCTCCCTCTAATTCCTGCCAGCATCACCATTTACTTTTCTTGTGGTAAACTTGTAGAGTGAAAGTCAGTGGGGAAGGCTAAGGCCAGCAGACAGTGGCTATTGCCAGATGGGGGAGGGAACAAGAAGTTGGGAATGGTATGTGTGGATGCATGAGAGGTGCCGCAGAGGACAGGAAGGGTGTGCATGTGTGTACAGGGGTCAGGGAGGGTGTGTGTGTGGGGGAGGCAACATGAGTTAGGAAGGTGCAAGTGTCTGTAATGGTGTGTGTTAGAAGAGTGCCTGGGTGTATGAGAGTATATGAGAGGTGCTGTGTAAGTCAGGGATGATGCACAGCGAAGGTTGGGAGGGTGTGTCCAAGAGATGCCATAAGGGATGTGAGTTGGGGGAGCATGTGGGGGGGGGTGTAGACTGGGAAAAGTGCATGGGGATCCCTTTCTCCCTGCTCCTCCCTCCCCCTCTATTCTTTTCTCTCCTTCCCTTCCCTGCAGGCAACTGCTGGGTGGAGCAGGGAGCAAGAAATTGTAAGTCATTGGGAAGCTATCACAGAACATTCAAAATGAGCATCATGAGACCACAGCAGCAGCCTGAGAGTAAAGAAGCAACCACAATTTCCCCAAATCTCATTTCCTTGGGACTTCATGAGTCCTGGATACACTCTGTTAAGTTTAGACCATTTGAGGTACCTTCCTTCAAAAATTATTGCCCTATGATGCACTGTTTTCCCAATTAAAGGTTATAGAAACAAGAGTTTAGATGATAGATAGATAGATAGATAGATAGATAGATAGAGAGAGAGAGAGAGAGAGAGAGAGAGATAGATAGATAGATAGATAGATAGATAGATAGATAGATAGATAGATAGATGATAGAGCCAAAACTTGTTTTCTGAAGAAACTTTATAATGAACAAGAAGTTACTATAAGAACTGCAGCAGGAGAAACAGAGATCTTTTGGAACAGAGGCGAGGATAACACAATACTATCAACACATATTGTTTCACTTATAGTGCAGTCAGAAAGTATTCAGACCCCCTTCACTTTTGTCAATTTTGTTATGTTGCACCCTGATTCTACAGTTGTTGAAATTCATTTTTTCTTATTAATCTATACTTAGTACCCCATAATGACAAAGTGAAAACAGAAGTTTAGAAATGTCTATAAATTTATTTAAAAGAAAAACCTGAACTATCACATTGGCATTAATTATTCAGACCGTTCACTCAGTACTTTGTTGAAGCACCTTTGGCAGCAATTACAGCCTCAAGTCTTTTGGGGTACAATGCAACAAGCTTTAGACACCTGGATTGGGGGATTTTCTGCCATTCTTCCTTGCAAATTCTCTCAGGTTCAGTCAGGTTGGATAGTGACCATCGGTGGATAGCCATTTTTAGATCCCATCAGAAGTGTTCAATAGGGTTCAAGTCAGGGCTTTGGCTGGGCCACTCTACGACATTCACAGAGTTGTCCCTAAGCCCTTCCTTTGTTGTCTTGGCTGTGTGCTTAGTTCGTTGTCATGTTGGAAAGTGAACCTTCAGCCCAGTCTGAGATGCTGAACATTGTGGAACAGGTTTTCATTGAGGATATCCCTGTGCTTTGCTCTATTCAGCTTTCCCTCAATCCTGACCAGTCTCCAAGTTACTGCTGTTGAAAAACACCCCCACAGTATGATGCTGCCACCACCAGGCTTCACTGTTGGGATGATATTGGGCAGGTGATGAGCAGTGCCTGGTTTCCTCCAGACATAACATTTAGAATTGAGACCAAACAGTTCAATCTTGGTTTCATTAGACCAGAGAATCTTGTTGCTCACAGTCTGAGAGTCCTTCAGGTGTTTTTTTGCAAACTCCAAGTGGGTTTTCATGTATTTTGCACTGAGGAGAGACTTCCATCTAGCCACTCTGCCATAAAGCCCAGATCAGTAGAGAGCTGCAGTGGTGGTTGTCCTTCTGGAACTCTGTCCCATCTCCTCACAGGATCTCTGGAGCTCAGTCAGAGTGACTATTGGATTCTTGGTCACCTCTCTTACTAAGGCCCTTCTCCCCCGATTGCTCTTGGAAGACTCCTGGTTGTGCCAAACTTGTTCCATTTGAGAATTATGGAGGCCACTGTGCTCTTAGGAACCTTCAGTGCAGCAGAAATTTTATTGTAGCCTTTCTCAGATCTGTGCCTAGCAATAATCCTGAGCTCTGCAGGCAGTTCCTTTGACCTCATGGCTTTTACTCTGCTACAGTATGCATTGTCAGCTGTGAAGCCTTCTATAGCACGGTGTCAAACTCGATCGCGTCACGTGACATATCATGACATTTTTTACCTTTGCGGAGCTGGGGTGGGCGTGGCCTGTGTGATGCATTTGGCCCACAGGCCGCCAGTTTGACACCCCTGTTCTATAGAGAAGTATGTTCCTTTCCAAATCATGTCCAATCAATTTAATTTACCACAGGTGGACTCCAATCAAGGTGTAGAAACATGTCAGCAATGATCAAGAGAAATGGGAGGCACCTGAGCTAAATTTCAACTGTTCTTGCAAAGGATCTGAATATTTATGCCAATGTTCAGTTGTTTCTTTTAAATAAATTTACAGACATTTCTAAACTTATGTTTTTACTTTGTCATTATGGGGTACTGAGTGTAGATTAATGAGGAAAAAAATGAATTTCAATATCTGTAGAATTAGGCTGCAGCATAACAAAATTGGCAAAAGTGAAGGGAGTCTAAATCCTTTCTGAAAGAACTGTATACAGGTAATCCTTGACTTACAACCACAATTAAGCTCAACATTTTTGTTGTTAAGTGAAACATTTGTTAAATTGATTTTGCCCAATTTTATGACTTTTCTTGCCACAGTTGGTAAGTGAATCACTGAAATTATAGAATCATAGGGCCAGTAGGGACCTGGGAGGTCTTCTAGACCAACAACCTGCTCAAGGCGGGAGACTTTATACAGGTACTCCTTGACTTACTACCACAATTGAGCCCAAAAGTTCTGTTGTTAAGCAAGATAGTTAAGTGTGTTTTGCCCCATTTTATGACGTTTCTTGCCCAAGTTGTTAACTGAATCACTGCAATTGTTAAGTTAGCTGTTATGTGAATCTAGCTTCCCCATTGACTTTATTGTCAGAAGATCGCAAAAGGTAATCACATGACCCTGGGACACTGCAACTATCATAATACATTTCATTTGCCAAGTATTCACATGTTGATCACCTGACCATGGGGATGATGCAACGATCATAAGTGTGAAAAATGGTCATGTTATTTTTTTCAGTGCCGTAATAACTTTGAATGGTCATTAAATGAATGGTAGTAAGTTGAGTGCTACCTGTATCATCCAAGTCAAACAGTTGCCCGGTCTATTCTTGAAAACCTCCAGCAATAGAGCACTCACAACTCTGGGAGGCAAGCTGTTCCATTGATTAACTGCTCTCACTGTCAGACAGTTTCTCCTTGGTTCTAGGTTGGCTCTCTCTTTAACAAGTTTCCACCCATTACTTCTTGTCCTGCCCTCAGGTGCTTTGGAGAATAAGCCCCCTCTATGAGAGCTCCTCAACTACTGGAAAACAGCTATTGTGTTATCCCTAATGCTTCTCTTTGATAGGCTAGAGTCAGACATACCTAGTTCCCTGCTCACAAATCCACGACTTGATTATCTTTTCAGGATTTTCCCAGGTATTGATGTAAAGTTGATTGGCCTATATTTTCTCTCAAAAATATATGTGGTTTCCACTTGCCCAAGTAAAAGAACTAGAAAGGGGCAAGTAGAAAAGCAGAAAAAGTAGCCCTGATGGTTAACAAGGATATCTGAGAACCAAGTGTTCCAGGATTATAAGAAAAAAATCTTCAATTTATTATTAGACAATATTGTGACCGAGATCAAACATACAAAATGGGCTGTCACGTAGAAGATGGGACAAAATTGTCCAGAGTTTTCCAAAAGAAAGAAACGAAACAGTAGTATAAATTACAATAAAGTAAATTGTGGCCAGATATCAAAAAATATTATAGAAATTAGAGTTGTTCAAGAACGGAACAGACAACCTATGGAAGCAGTGACATTCTTTGATTAGAACAGTGTTTCTCAACCTTGGCAACTTTACGATGTGTGGACTTCAACTCCCAGAATTCTCCAGCTAGCATGGATTAGAAGAAGCTACAGAAATGGATTAGAAGAAGCTACAGAAATGAGTGTCTGCAGGTGACCTTGGATCTCCAAGTTCACTTCCAACCCAAAGAGCAAGAGAGGGAAAGTTGGGTTGTGGTCAAGGCAACAAAATAGGCATTCAGAATCTCGGGACCCTCCTCTAACCTCCAGAGTTTTCATTTTTAGACTATACTTTTCTATCAGATATCTCTGAAAGGAACAAAATTTATATCTGAAACTTTTTGTGTGAATGTTACTAATACAGTTTGAACTGACAAATAATAAAATGAACTTTCCTATATTATTTCTTACTGTTCATTAGTAAAATATGTTGAACAACTTTAGTTTCATTTTTGTAGCTATAAGTAGGGGAAAAATTGGAATACATATATAAAACATTCCAATATTCTATTCTATTCTATTCCAATATTTCATATAATATTATATGTATATATATTTCACACTTTAATCTTCGCAAATATTCCAGCATGTTCTAAATGACAAAGATCTAGAAAAATCTATTATTTCTCAAGGCATTTTCATATACTTTTATAGCACAAAAATAACATCCATTTATAGAGTATCTTATTTGTGTAAAGCAACTTACCCACTAGTTCCTGGTCTTTGAGCCTGAGAAAAACGCCAGTCTGTGTTAGGTTGTGTTTGCTGAAAAAAAAAACATAAAGAGGAACATATTTCTATTTTTCAATTTAAGCATAGCATCCTTATTATTATTACAGAATATTAAACATAAATTGTAGTATATGGTTAGTATATGCTTTGGAAGTTTGAATTATAAATAATATGCACAAGTATACAATGACGTTTTCAGGTTATTTCCAAACAGGAATGCATGATTAAATAGTATGCTTAAAAATGTTTGCTTGTTTATTCAACAACACTTCAGCTATCACCACAATATGAAATATTTTGTAATCTATTAGAGAAATCATTCAGAGAAGTATTCCATAAAAATACATAGATGAATTAAAACATATAACAAACCTGAAAAAGCATAATTGAATATCACAAATAATGAGATTAGGGGAGGACTGATTCTGAAAGAGAATTGTTTTACTACATTTTTTCCAGTACAGTAAAAAAAAGAGAGAAAAAAAGATTCAATAGAAACTTATTACATATAGGTAATCCTCACTTACCAACTACAATTGGGACCCTCGGCTCCATCACTAAGTGATATGGTTGCAAAGTGAATCATCGTGTGATGGCACTTAACTAATGATGCTAGTTCATCAGTTCCAGCTGCAGTCATTAAGCAAATTACTGTAGGTTGTTAAGCGTGATGTCATGTGATCACAACTTGTGACTTCCTGCCAGCTTCCCCAATGGCTTTGCTTGTCTGAAGCAAAGGTCACAATCAAGGTTGCAAATAACAATCACCAGACTGTGGGATACGGCAACCATTATATGTTCTGGTTGCCAGGTGCCCATATTGTGATCACTTGACCACATGGATTCTGTGACAGCCACAATTCCAAGGACTGATCATAAGTCTCCTTTTTCAGCATCATTTTAACATCAAATGGTCGCTGAAAGAGTAGTTGCTAAGTAGGGACTACTTGTAATAATGCTTATCATACCCACCACTTTATTAAAAGATATCCAATAAGTTATTCACAGAGTGAAACTTCTGAAAGTTTTGCCAGGATAACTGCAGGGATTTGTTTCAGCAGTCCCCAGGAGCCAATACAAAGACACAAAACAAAACTTAAGTGAGTGGATTTCTGAAAGCAGCAAAAGCATCTTTTTTCTGTCTCACTGAAAAAAGTCAGGCTTTTTTTTCATGAAAGCCAGACAACAGCTGTGCTCCTACAAGTTCCAAAACACTATTTCGAATCAATTCTAAGTGAGCATAGCTCTTACGGGTGTAATTTTCTGTGTCAATTTCTGAAGAATTCCCTGTTACAGTTAAGATCTTGTATATATTACTTCATATATGTAAAGCTTCTTTTTAAGTTCTTTTTTAACGAAATACCTATATAGTACTATACAGCCAATACATAAAATAATAAAATAACCTTAAAGGCTACCTGGATTCTGTTCAGGATAATAAAGTTCATAATATGAAAATATGAAATAATTTCATATTCCATTATTAAAAATAATTTCATAATATGAAAATATGAAAAGTTCATATTTTCCAAAGCACCAGAGAGCAGGACAACAAACAATGGATGGAAACCAATCAAGGAGAGAAGCAACCTGGAATTAAAGAGAAACTTCCTAACAGTGAGAACAATTAACCAGTGAAACAGCTTGCCTTCAGAAGTTGTAGGTGCTCCATCACTGGAGTCTTTTAAGAAGAGACTGGACAGCCACTTGTCTGAAGTGGCAGAGGATTTCCTGCTTGAGCAGGGGGTTGGACTAGAACACCTCCAATGTCCCTTCCAGCTCTATTCTGTGAATTTGCAATTCTTTCTTTAAGGCAATAGCATGTAACTTGTAGACCTAAACCAAACATTGTAGATTCCAGAGCCCCCAGTTCTATAGCACTGATATTCAGCAGCAAATAGCAATGTGACGATTAGTGGAGGCTTGCATGGGGCTCATGGATGGTCATTTTAACAGCAAAAATGGCTACCCTCTGAAAAAGCAAAAAATAAGCAACCATCTTCCCCCAAGGATAAAACTGTTAGCCCTGAATATGGGGTAAAGTCCCGTAAAGTAGACTTAGAAGGCAATTTTAAAGAAGTGAACTCAAAAGCAAAAAGAAGATATTTGCCCTGTCTTGAGCACTTGAATCCGGGTTCCTGAACTTCTTTGGATAAATATTTTTATGTTTGTATAATCAATAGTAAGCATTAAAATTCTGTAGCAAAGATGATTCTGAATATTGCTTCATGATCATATAGAGTTCCAGTAATGTGAGAAAGATGAGAGCACTTTATGAAATCAGCAAAACTTTAGAAATCACAACCCCTTTGCTAAAAATGATGCATCAGGCATATTTGCAAATCTCCAACTGGAAGCAAGGAAATAAATACCTAACCCACAGTGTCCTTTCAGGGAACCAACCATAGACTGGGAAAGGGTCATTTAGGTCACTGCATCCCATTCAGTCTTCTGTTCTGCACTCCCAAATAGGTTTTATAAAATGTTTCATTTGTTTTAGTCTGAAGTTAAGATAGCTAAATTTAGTTAACAATTAAATCTGTCCAGAACTTTTCTCCCAACCATTTGCTGCACAAATTGAGGATAACTGAAGGAACTTAAAGAATTTCATCTGCTAACTTTTATTCATCAATAAATTTACTTTCTGTTCCTTATCTAAATTGACACTGAAGCCTTCTTGACACAGTAACAACACCAAGAACTTTCTATTAAAGGGCAAACAATTCATTGGATTATTTTAACACTTTTTATTGTTCATTTTAATCAGCCTTCTGAACTTTCTAGATTTGATTTCTGTATTTAAACTTACTTAGCTGCACTGAATGCAGGTAGTCCTTGATTTATGACTATTTGTTTAGTGACCATTCAATGCTAAAAGAGCTGAAAAAAATGATTTATGATTTGTCTTCATACTTATGACCATTGCAGCGTCCCTGTGGTCATGCGATCACAATTTGGGCACTTGGCAACTGGTATATACTTAAGATGGTTGCAGCATCCCAGGATCATGCAACCTTCCCAGCCATCTTCCAACAAGTAAAGTCAATGGAATAAGCTGGGTTCACCTAATAATCCTGTGATTTGCTTTACAATCACTGCAGAAAGGTAATAAAGTTGGGTGTGATTCACCTAACTACCACATCCTTTGGCGACAGAAGTTCCTGCCTCAAATGTGGTCATAAATCAAGGACTATCTACAAAAGAATCAAAATAGCAGCTACCAAGACCAGGATCAGTCACAAAACAAACTTCATTCTCTTTTAATACATGAGATGTCTCATTGAGGAGCAAAGACAGTTGTCAATATGGGGACAAATGGCAACACAAGTTATTTATAACAAAGCATCCAAAATCACTTGTAAAAAACAGTACAAAACTGTTCCCCACCCAGGAAGATGATATCTTCAGGTCAAATAAAAGTTCATGGGAGCATTTCTGTTAAATATAGACTGCAAATATATGTATATCCATATAGATATATATTTATATATGTTCCAGCATTGTCTTGGTGTATCTTACCGCATCAGAGGGGTTCTGCAAAGCACTGCCTGTGTGTTCAAAGGCAAGAATGCTTTCTGCTGTAGTGGAATGACTGAAAGGTTTAACAAAAAAGAAATCTCCCTGCTCAGACATAGGGGAGAAACAAGACTTGTAGTTCTGAGCTCCAGCTCCACTCACTTCAAGGTATCTTATAAAGCCTTCTGGATTTGGATACCCACTGATATTTATGGTAGATTTCCGGTCTGTCCTCCTACTACACCAGCGTGATATAATCCAGTTTGGGATACAGAAGCCAGATTTGAAGCACCTGGCTCCCACAATAATCATCATTACACAAGACACCAGAGAGATAGCCACAAGAGAGATGATAAGATAAAGAGTTAAATTCTGAGCCCTGGCAGGTGACTTGGGAAGAAGGTCCAAGGACTTGGTAAAATCTTGTCCAGCATTATCCTCTGAGGAGATTATTAGAATCAATGATGCTGAAAGAGATGGCATCCCATTGTCCTTCACTTCTACCACCAACCGGTGAGAAACCCCAGGTTCCTTCAGTGTCCGAGTGACACGGATCTCTCCTGAGTGGTCTTCTACTTTAAAAGCATTTAGCTCATTTGTCTCATGGAGCAACTGGTATGAAACCCATGCATTATGGCCACTGTCAGCATCCACTGCCACTACTTTAGTCACCAGATATCCAGGTTCTACTGGGATTAGAAGTGACTGATGAAAGGCAGAACCTTTGGGAACTTCTGGGTGTACAATTACAGGTGCATTATCATTCTGATCCACTATGAACAGATGAAGAGTGGTTGTGCTGCTTAGCGGTGGGAAACCTGAATCTTTCACCTCTACTGAAACTTGAAAGACTTTTTCTTGCTCATAATCTAGAACCCTGGAGGTATAAATACTGCCATTCTCTTGATTGATGTGGAAATAGGTTGAGATGGGCAAGCCCTGATTTCCAGTGTCCACTATGGAATAAGATAGCTTGGAATTGACACCTACATCTGGATCGCAGGCCGACACAGAAAAGACTAGAGTTCCCGGAGATGTATTTTCCTCCACATGGGCTGTGTAGGAAGGGATGGAGAAAGTGGGTGCATTGTCATTTATATCTGAAACTTGAATTAATATATTTTTCTCAGTTGACTTTTGAGGTATTCCAGAATCTGTTGCTTTAATTTTGATATTGTATCCAGCAGTCTTCTCTCGATCAAGTGGGGTATTAGTCACTAGTGAATAATGTCCTTTAAATGAAGACACCAATTTAAATGGTACATGCCTTGGAATCTCCAAGCGGACTTGCCCATTCTCCTCAGAATCGTTGTCCTTTGCGTGGATAAGTGCAATGACGGTTCCTATGGGTGCATCTTCTTGTACTGAGCTAGAAAGAGTGGTCATCATAATCTCTGGACTGTTGTCATTAACATCAACAAGTTCTACTCTAATATTGCAGTGACCTTCCATAGCAGGGGATCCCTTGTCTTTAATGTAGATGGCTATTTCATATGCATTAGCTTCTTCATAATCCAATAAAACTTTTGTCTTGATTTCCCCTGTTTGAGAGTCCAGACTAAACACATCAAGGAGTTTTAGCTGTACACTGCTGCTGGATTTGAAGAAATATTCAACTTCTCCATTAGGTCCTTCATCCAAGTCAGTAACATTGAGTTTTGTTACAATAGTCCCCACCTGGATATTTTCCTCCAAATAAACCTTTGATACAGGTGGTTCACACACTGGGGGATTATCATTTGCATCAAGTACATGGACTGTTACCTGAACAGTGCCTGACTGAACAGGATTTCCACTATCTAGGGCAGTCAGGATTAAATGATGGGTAGCTGCTTTTTCCCTGTCCAGGAGCTTTTCCAATACAATTTCAGGAATTTTGACCCCATCCCCTCTGATATTGATACTCAAAGCAAAATGTTCATTTGGACTGAGCTCATAGGTTGCAATGGAATTGGAACCGGTGTCTTGATCTTCTGCAACTTCCAGCCGTAATCGAGTGCCTAGGTTGGCAACCTCAGTAATTTCTAAAGAAACAGTGTCCTTTGGGAATCGGGGGGCATTGTCATTCACATCCAGTATCTCCACCTCCACCCGGTTAAGTTGCAATGGTTTCTCCAGCACCAACTGAAAAGGAAAAGAACACCTGGGGCTGGAGCTACACAGCATTTCCCGATCTAACCTCTCATTGACGAGTAACATGCCGTCTGCCAGGTTCACTTGGAAGTATTGGCGCATTCCCTCACTGACCAGCTGCAAGCGGCGAGCACGCAGAGTCCGCACATCCACTCCCAGATCCTTGGCAATATTCCCCACGTAAGAGCCTGGATCCTGGTCCTCTGGGATGGAGTAGTGAATCTGCATGGAGATGAGATCTGGCAGGGAAAACACTGAAGCTAAAAATAACAGCGGCTGCCATTGCAAATTCTGTCTGCTATCCATGCCTGGCTTGCTTCAGTCAAAAGGATTGCAGCTTCTGGCTGCTGCTGCTGCTTCTCCTTGCCGGGGGTTGGGGGAGGTGGGTGGGTGCGCTTTTTTTTTTTTTTTTGCTGCTTCTAGATACACTCTGTCCCTCCCACCTGGTGACTCTGGGATGACCCGAGAGGGGCAGTGCAGCCCCCCAAAAAGGATGCTGCAGCTTGAGAGGGAAGGGAGAGGAGGGGGAATGGATTTTCAAGCAGCAGCAGCAGCAGCTCCTCCTTGGCAAAATGAGCAGCAGAGGAAAAAGAGCTCTGAAATGGATACTAGCAATCCCCTCCTCCGTGACAGCACTGAAGCCCCTTTCTCAAAATACACCCCCCAAAAAAATACTTTGCCCATCTCCAGAACCACCATGCTCCTCCTCCCCCTCCTTTACAGCACAGCAGAGAGAGCTGTCCCAAGGGTACTGTTGGCCAAAAGAGCTTGCACAGACTGCCTGGATGAAAAAGCTGAAATCAAAAGTGCACAAGAATGGCAGAAAGGTGCTTAGAATATACATAATCTCAGAAAAAAACGAAAGACAACCTCCCAGCCTTAATTCCCAGCCTTCCCCAAAACAACTGGAACAACATAGATGCTTAAGTAAGTGAGTGAGTAAAAAGCCAATGTGCAGCCTGCTAGACAGACAATTCAGAAGACTTCAGGGTGGGCTTGTGTAGGTCAACACTATCTATGCAATAGATTAGTCATTGATTTCCCCACCCTTATCTCTTGTACGCAGGAGATCATAAGATGTATACAGAACCCAGGGCTTAAGCAGAAAATTCTCACCTTATGAAAGAAGCTGGCTTCAGTTAGATTGCTGCAAGAGGCTGCCCTAAGAGTCAAATTAGGTTTCATAAACACAAACTCGCTGATATCTGAAACAGGAGAAAAACAAGATCTGTATCCTTTCACTGGAGGTCCTGAAGTGGCTACCTGTACTCCAATCATGGCATCTCCAGGGCTCAGCTGATAATGATAATGTCCCGTCATATGATCTGGGACATTTTCAAGTCCACTAGCTTTACCTCCACAGCATCCAAAGATAGTAGATGTTGCAAAAGCATCACAGTGAAGACATCTTGCTCCCAGGGCCACCAAAGCAATCAACAAGATAGTAGAAATTGCTGCCAAACAGATAATAAGATATAAAGTCAATGTGGGCGGTCTCTCACTTTCCACAGAGTGTGCAGTTAACCCTAGAAACACTTCAGAAGCGCTCTCTTCCAGGAATATGATCACAGTAACTGAGGTAGACATGGAAAGTTCTCCTGAATCTTGGACAACTATGACTAGTTCCTGGGTAGGATTGTCTAGGTCCTGTATTATTCGTAAGGTCCTCATTTCCCCACTGTGAAGACTTATGCTAAACAGACTAAGATCTGTGGCTTGTTTTAGATGATAAGAGAGCCAAGCATTTTGCCCAGAATCAAAGTCCACAGCCATAATTTTTGTGATTAATGCTTTGGCCATAGTAGATCGAGGAATCCTGAATTGTACAACTGAATCTTTCCCAGTAAAAGGAAACTGAATCTTTGGAGCATTATCATTCTGATCTAGTAGATAAATGTGCACCATAACCCTGTTGCAGAGAGAAGGAGAACCACCATCACAAGCTTCTACCTGAAACTGAAAATGATTGGTACACTCATAATCAAAGGAGCTTTCTGCAAAAACTTCCCCATTTGTTGGGTTAATGGAGATGAAAGAAGTGAGATCTTCAATCAATTCTTGTCCTGGACTGGTCAAAACAATGTAAGATAGCTGGGAATTCTGATCTTTATCTGCATCTGTTGCAGAAACCTTAAGGAGAATCACTCCTACTGGATTGTTCTCTTCTATGATGACTTCATAAAATGACCTGTCAAACTGAGGTGGATTATCATTAATATCTGCCAGAGTAATGGAGAAAGATGTCTGTTGCAAGAGAGGTGGATTTCCTAAGTCAAAGGCACAGATAGTGATATTGTATTGAGAAGAGTTCTCACGGTCCAGTTGCTCACCAATGAGCAAGGAATACTGGTGCTCAAAATCCTTCCGAAGTTTAAAAGGAAGATTTTTTGACAAATCACACTGGACTTTCCCTTGATCCCCAGAGTCTCTATCTTTGACATGTATCACAGCAACTACTGTGCCAGGAGGTGCATCTTCACTCATGGAACTGGAGAAAGATGTGAGAATGACTTCAGGGACATTATCATTGACATCTGTCACTTCTACAATAACACTGCAATGCTGTTCCATGGTAGGTGAACCCATGTCCTTAGCTTCCACTTCAATTTCATATATGCTGGCCTCTTCAAAATCAAGACTCCCTTGAACACGGATTTCTCCTGTGATATTATCAATAGCAAATATTCTGCACAATGCTTCAGAGTTATGACTGCTGAGGGAATACCGTACCTGTCCATTAGACCCTTCATCAAAGTCGGTTGCGTTCAGCTTAATCACCAGTGTCCCAGGAGGAGAGTTTTCTACCAAGCGGACATTGTAAGTGGGTTTGTCAAAAACTGGGTGATTATCATTAGCATCCAGAACATGGACAGCAATTTGTACAGTGCTAGATCTGGGGAATGTGCCCCCATCTTCAGCTGTCAGGATCAAATTGTGGACAGCCACACGTTCTCTGTCCAATGTTTTCTCCAGAACTAGTTCTGGGAATTTGGTGCCATCGGTGCGTGCCTTCACATTGAGGCTGAAGTTCTCATTGATGCTGAGGTGATACGTTTGCAAAGTATTTGTTCCTATATCTGGATCCTGTGCATGTGGAATAGGGAAACGGGCACCCAGGGCAGCCAATTCATAGATCTGCAGAACAATTGTGCTACTTGAGAATTCAGGAGCATTGTCGTTGATATCCAGAATCTCCACTTCGATGCGATAGAACTCCACCGGGTTTTCAATAGCAAGTTTAAGATGCAAGAAACACCGTAGGTTCTGGCCACAAAGCTGCTCTCTGTCTATTCTGTCATTGATTATTATGATTCCAGTGTTCACATTCACAGAGAAATACTGGAAGTCGGAATCAGAAAGCACCTGCAGATTGGCAGCTGCAAGCTTTGTTACATCCATTCCTAAATCCTTAGCAAGATTTCCTACAAAGGCTCCCCGAGTAAGTTCCTCAGGGACAGAATAACGGATCTGTGCGAAACAGTCACTCAGAAACAGATAGAAAGCAAAGGTATGTAGGAATCCCAAACGCCAGGCAGTTTTTTCTGTTCTGAGCATCTTTCAGAAATCCACGGCAGGAAGGTCTAAAAACTGCAAAACAGGAGCTATTTATAGCACACAGTACAGCTTTAAAACCCTGAGAAACTCACCACTTATCTCCACAAAATATGCATTATATGAAAGGAAGAGGGTCTACAGTCAGTATTTACCTCCCTCATTCATTGTTTTGGTTTGAGAGAGATTGTCACTGCTATGGAGGGAGTGGTATTCACGGCAGGTCTTCAGCATTAACCGCCTGTTCATTCGCTGAGACTGCTTTTCTATTTATCCAATCAGCAGAGCCTTTCCCAGGACAGCAACACAAGCACCAATCCATGTCTGGAAGCAGCTACTGTGTGAAAAAGGACCGCGTAACCTGCTTTTTTTTTTTAACCTAGAGACACCAGGCAAAAACACAGCCCAACATCTTGTCCCATATTGGCTTTGTTCTAGCTTATCTGACCACAAGTATTAATAGCATGCAGATATCTCTAATGGCACAGCTGGCTCCTCCTATAAGTGCAACAAAACAGCTATTTTCTCATTTTCTATCAGGAACGACAATTAATAAAGGCTAGCAACGGCTCCCTCCTTGCCCTCATCCCAACTCACCCAGCTAATTATTTGTAGAATCCTGAATTAATGACACTTTTAGGATAAAATGTATTTTTTTCAGAAAATACATATTCCATTTTTCTAATAATAAATCACTTGTCAGGTGATGGTGCTTTCCAATTGTAAACATGTTAAAAATGAAAGAAAATCTGATTTTGACAGCATGTGAAAACTGATATACAATTATTAACATTTGGATTTTCTTCTCATTCTTGCCACTGGTCCCCAGTTCCTAATTCCTCTCATAGGTACTTCCAACACATGTAACATCATGGGGATTAATCCACAAAATTTGCCTCATCTCCAAAGTTTCTATTATCATTTTAATAATAAGGTATGAATTAGTCCATGCTCAATCAATCCATTTACGAAGCTACAGACCCATAAGAATTTAGCTATTGGTCTAAATGTCTATGGAGATTCTCAGTCATCCCGGTCATGACTGCCCCAAAGGTGCTTTTTTAAAAGGCAACTGGACTTTGTTTTTCCTTTAAGACATTTCACTTCTCATCCAAGAAGCTTCTTCAGTTCTTCAGATCTAACTGAAGAAGCTTCTTGGATGAAAGCGAAACAGGTTCAAGGAAAATCAAAGTCCAGATGTCTTTTGAAAAAACAACCTTTGGGTTAGTTCTTGATAAAATTTCAATTACTGGAAATATCAATTATGTTTCAGATGGGATCAGGACAAAACACAAAAGGTCATCTCACCTGCTTTGGATGATTCAGTGTATTAATATGGGACAAAAAAGGATCAACATTCCTTGTTAGGGTACTTGGCTGGGAATACACAGGCCTCATAAACGTGAAATCACTTCTGTCTGACTCCGGAGAATGCCTGGATTTGTGGGGCTGGCTTTGGGAGTCTGCAGGCCTTAGTGTCACCTCCATGTATTCCAGGGTACCATCGGAGTTGAGTTGCAGTTTAGGACTGGAGTATTTGAAAAGATCCCTGACAGGAGCATTGTTCAAGGTGTAAGGAGAATCTCTGCCTTTTCTATTCCAAAAGCATTTTGCAGACAAGACAATTAAACTAATGAGAGAGACAATGCTAACCACCACCAGAGCTATAATCAGATACAGAGTCAGATCAGATTTTTCTTTAGGATGATTTAAGAACTCGTGAGACTGTGAACTTTCCTCAGATGCTTTTTCCTCTAGTGAGACTAAGATTGTTACGGTAGTGGATAAAGGTGGTTTTCCATGATCCTTTACAAGGACGAGGATTTTCTGTGCAAGAAGATCTGTTTCTTGGAAGCTTCGAACAGTCCATATTTCCCCAGTGTATGGCGCTATTCGAAACAGGGAGGCATTTGTAGAACGGGGGAGTAAAGAGTAGGACAGCCAGGCATTATGACCAGAATCTGCATCCACTGCTGTGACTTTTGTGATGACATAACCTACTGGTGCTGACAGAGGGATTCTCTGGAGTGCTGACAATTGCTGGCCAGTCACTGGATACAAAACAACAGGAGCATTATCATTCTGATCCAATATGAAGAGATAAACAGTGACACTGGAGCTTAGTATGGGTGTCCCAGCATCCTGCACAGTAACAAGGATTTGCAACACTTGAAGCATTTCATAATCAAAAGAATGCTGGGCATATATATTCCCATTATCTGGGTTGATATAAATAAAGGAAGAAATGAGGGCATCTTGGACTCGATTTCCAGCCACTGAGTAAGTGAGCCGGGAATTGTCACCCTCATCAGGATCAGAGGCAGATACAGTACACAACAGAGAGCCAGGTGGATCATTCTCGTTCAAGAAGGAGTTGTAGAAATGCTGAGAGAAGGATGGGGTATTATCATTGACATCTGAAATGTTCAACAAGATAATCAAATCTCTAGTTAGAGGTGGAGTTCCTGAGTCTTGGGCAGTGAGCTTTATAGTATATTGAGAAACTGTTTCTCTATCCAGCTTTTCATGTGTAATTAAGGAAAAATGATTTTCAAAAGACTTAATTTTAAAGGGTAAGCTCTTTGGTATTTGCAAGCTTACTTTTCCATTGACACCTGAATCTTGATCTCGTACACTGAAAAGCCCAACCACTGTTTCTAAAGGTATATTTTCTGGCAGTGGATTTACCAAGGAAGTAAGCAGAATATCTGGGAAATGGTCATTTTCATCTTCAACTTCTATTTGGATAACACAATGGCCTTCCATCTGTGGTATACCCTTGTCTCTGGCTCTTATGTGAAGTTCATAAAACTGGGATTCTTCAAAATCCACAACTCCTTGAACATAGATCTCACCTGTAAGGGGATCTAAGCCAAACAATGTCTGGATGGAATCTGATGTTTGGATTCCAAAAGAATACTGTATTTCCCCATTAGAACCTGCATCAGGATCAGTTGCATTGAGTTTAAAAATTAAAGAGCCTACAGGAATATTTTCCAAAAAATGTATCTTGTATACAGGCAGATCAAATGTAGGCTTATTATCATTATTGTCAAGAACCACAATGGTGAGCTGACTTGTTCCTGACAGGACAGGGTCCCCTCCATCATAGGCAGTCAAAATCAGCTGATGTTCTGATTGCTTTTCTCTATCCAAAGGCTGGTCTAGCACCAGTTCAGGTAGAAGCTTGCCATCCTTCACATTCTTTATATCAAGTATGAAGTGAGGATTGGGACTTAGCTGGTAGGCACTGACTGCATTGGTCCCGACATCTGCATCATGTGCACCCTCGAGTGGGAGCCGTGATCCGGTAGCAGCAGATTCGGCTACCCTCAATGCAAGCCAGGGAGTGACGAAGTTGGGTGAATTGTCATTCAGGTCCAGAATCTCTATCTCCAGGTGAAAGAGCTCCAAAGGATTTTCAATTACTACTTGCACAGGCAGGATGCACAGTGAGCTTGCTCCACAGAGAGTCTCTCGATCTATCTTTTCATTCACCATCAGAGCACCACTGTCCAAGTTAATTGCAAAGTACCTCTTACTTTCCTCAGAGCCCAGCCAAAGCCTACGACTTGAAAGATCTGCCAGGGTTAAGCCCAGATCATGTGCCACCTCTCCCACCATGGTCCCCAGCTTCGATTCCTCCACAACAGAATAGCGGATCTGTCCTGTAATCAACACCCAGTTGAATAATAAAAATAAGCCCAGTACTTGCCATTTGCAAGAGAGTTGCCAGGACAATGGTGACTCCATCTCAGAAAGTCTTCTTGCAGTTTCCCATTTATCAAGAGATTTTCCAAGACCTGGATGAGCTCTGTTGATAAAATCCCTCTGTATTCCTTTCCAAATGAAAATAAGTAGCTTTTGATCTTGCTTAGCTGCAACCACAGTGTTAGTCAGAAAGGTGAGGGGGTGGATTAGGGGAGGGAAACTGAATTATTGCCATGACGGAGGAAGAAAGGGCGGAATGACTAGATCCCTTCCTTCCATCAAAAATCTGGATCAGCAGCTGAATAGAGGATAATTCCATGTAGTCTTTACCACTGACAGTTCCACCTACACCCTTAAAGCAGCGTACAGATTTGAGATAGCACCCAGTGAAGCAGGCTGGTTCGTCACTAGTTTTGGCAGCTATGTTTAGCAGCTCAGATTCTTGTTCTCAAGGAAACAGCACATCCGGCAAGCATGAACAGTACAAATTTTCATTGTTCACATTCTCTAGATTGTTCCATCACATCTGAACAAATAAGAAAGTCTCTTTATCCAGAATGATAATATTCCAAAGTGATCTGATTTTCCATTTGTATGAAAAGATAGTGCAAGAAGGAAAAAAAAAGAACTTTGCACCCATCCATCCATCCATCCAGATTATGGTCTGCTTGTTTTTGGCTCAGCATGTGTGAACCTGTCCACGGCAACATATCTTAAATCTAAGCCTGGGTTAGTATTATGTACTGCATGAAAGGATACATTGTATGTCAACATAAGGCATCCAATTATAGAAGTAATCTCTTCTTCTGTGTTTTGTTTTCAAAATCACAAAAGGACACCAGTTCTAGAAACTGTTCTGGAAAATTACCCAACTAAGCTTCTTTTATAACAGAAACCAATTGTTGAAATTTAACCTAATACAGGTAGTCTTCGACTTACAATGGTTCATTTAGTGACCATTCAAAGTTACAACACTGAAAAAAGTGACTTATGACCATTTTTCACACTTACAACCATTGCAGCATCCCCATGGTCACGTAATCAAAATTTGGATGCTTGGCAACTGGCATGTATTTCTGACAGTTGCAGCATCCCAGGGTCATGTGATCACCTGTTGTGATCTTCTGACAAGCAAAGTCAATGGGGAAGCCAGATTCACTTAACAAACAGGTTACTAATTTAACAACTGCAATGATTCACTTAACAACTGTGGCAAGAAAGGTTGTAAATCGGGACAAAAGTCACTTAACAAATGTCTCACTTAGTAACATAATTTTTGGGCTCAATGGTGGTTGTACATTGAGGACTATTTGTACCTATGTTCCCTTTAGTTACAAGCATTACTTCTTAGCAAATCTTTAAGGCTCACAGATATTTTTAGACTTATTTTAAAATATTTTTAGAGATATTTAACACAAAATTTCCCCCCAAAGTATTTTTAATTCGTAAGATGTCCACTTTAATATGAAATCTGTTTCACAAGGCTTTAGTCATCATTTTCAACACAATGATATATCCAAATCAAAAGCACTACTACCCAAAGACAAATATTTCACATCTCATTTCATTTGTCTCTTGGGAAAGGCAGCTAGCTGGAAGAGCACCTATTGTTCATATCCCCCTAGTGACTGGCTTCACACATCTGAAGTTTCTCCCTTCTGAAGAGTGAGACGTGTCAGACCTTAAGAGGGTATACGGAAAAATACTTCTTCTAATGAAAACTGAAGGAAATTAACCTTTTACTCTATGGAATCAAGCAGGTTGAGAAAGCATCAATGTTTTCCCACTTAAATGGAATTTCTTTCTTTCAGGTATTGGCCCAAGCCATATCAGATGTCTTATTTTCAATCTTTAAATCACTTAAAGATTAAATATATAAAGAAAAACATAGAAAGTGCTGAGATTGCTGGCAGAATGGAATAGCAATAGCACTTAGACTTATATACCGCTTCACAGTGCTTTACAGCCCTCTCTAAGCAGTTTACAGAGTCAGCATATAGGCCCCCCCCAAACAATCTGGGTCCTCATTTACTGACTACAGAAGCATGGAAGACAGAGTCAACCTTGAGCCATCCAGAACTGAACTCCTGGAGTGAGCAGTGAGTTAGCCTGCAGTATTGCATTCTAACCACTGCGCCACCACGGCCCATCCTATTCATTGTGGGTATAACTGCCCTGCTGATATTTGAGATTAGATATCAAAATGGTTCTGGCTGACTTAAGTGAGATTTAGGATTCAACTATAAGCCTCTAGGAAGGCTATCTTATTCCAAAATAGTCTGTCTGATCTGACTTTCTCCTGGGAAGGTCAAAATTTTGAAAACACCTAGGACGTGCCATGTTACAGCTTATAAGAAATTCATGCATTCTTTTACTTTGGTGACCAAGGAAACTCCTTGTCCTGAGAAAAGTATGGCTTTTTGGCTTGATGCCTATTTTGAGTTAACAATGTATCTTGAATCTAAAGTGAATCTATTGAATTTAGTCACTGAACATTCATCGTAGATGAATTTTAGACACTGAATATGCATCACAGATATTCCATTCTCCATGGTATAAACATAGAAGAGAATCAACATTCCATTTATACATTTGACCAAAAAGTAAAAGCTGTGAAGTTTGAACAATACCAGGATTAAACAAATGCAAATATGGAAAATATTGACATTCTCTCAACACTTTTCTTAGTTACAAGTTATTATATATATAGGCTGTGAGAAATAGGATATTACTGAGATCAGAGTGATTACACAGATACTGCTCTGAATTGAAAAACTTAAATCTGAAATTGCTGATTATAACATATGGTGAAAGGGATTTTTTTTCCTCCAAAATCTTCATCATTAACCCTGAGGAGTATTTCTGTGGTACAAAGAAGAACTATTGGCATAGTAGTAAGCAATCAGTAATACCTAGCAATCAAAAAAGCTAACAAAATCCTGGGTTGTATAAACAGAGGCATAGAATCAATATCACAAGAAGTACTATTACTGCTTTTTAAAGCCCTAGTAAGACCACACCTAGAATACTGCAGCCAATTTTGGTCACCACAAAAAAGATGTTGAGAGTTTGGAAACAATTCAAAGAAGAGCAACTAAGATGATCAGGGGCCTGGAGACTAAAACATATGAAGAACGGCTATGGGATTTGGGTTTGGCTAGTCTAAGGAAAAGAAGAAATAGGGGGCCAGGTTGTTCACCAAAGCACCAGAGGGAAGGACGAGAAACAACGGTTGTAAACTGACCAAAGAGAGAAGCAACCTGGAATTAAGGAGAAACTTCCTGACAGTGAGGACAATCAACCAGTGGAACAGCTTACCCCCAGAAATAGTGGGTGCTCCATCACTGGAGATTTTTAAGAAGAGACTGGACATCCACCTGTCTGAGACGATATAGGTTCTCCTGCTCGAGCAGGGGGCTGGACTAGAAGACCTCCAAAGTCCCTTCCAGCTCTATTCTATTCTATTCTATTCTATTCTATGGTGGAATCTGGAGCTGAAGTGAGGGGTGGAGCTAAAAGACTGGCTAATCTGGAATCACTGAAAGGGAGGAGGCAGCGGAAAGCAGATTCTCTTTAAACCTTGGCGTGCTTAGCTAGATGTTCTCTCATGAGTGCAATGAATGTGATCAGATTCCCGTCAATAGGCAAGCAGCAATAAAAATACCATTCTGATCAACTCCCTGTGTAGTCCTGATTCCTTGAGTCTGACATTGATAATCATTAAGAATTTTCAGAGTGTGCTTATGGAAGCTGTTCCTTGGTCATTGGTCTTCTTATGAATTAAAAAAAAGTCATTTTCATCAACGTTTGAATTATTTATTTCCAAATAAATAATTGCTGCTGCAAATCCTCTGGTTGTTCTGTGAAGTGTGAACGTTAAAGGAATACAGGTAGTTCTTAACTTATAACCACAATTTGAACCAGAATTTCTGTCCTAAGTTGTTGCGGTCATAGGTCAATGATCTTGGAACAATTTTTATGGTGGTTGTTAAACAAATCCAGTTTCTTCAGTAAGGGTATTTTTTGCCAGAAATTGCCAAAAATCCCACAAATTGTGATCACATGACTACAGGAGGTTGAAAATGTAGGCCAGCCGCCAAGCACCCAAATTGTAATAATGGGACGGGGAGAAGGGGATAGCAGAATGGTTGTAAGTGTAAATAAGGTCACAGTGGGGGGGGGGGCGGTGGCTCAGTGATTAAGCTGACAGCCCAGGCTGGAGACACAAGCGCTGTGCGACGGGGTGAGCTCCCGTTATTTGCCCCAGCTCCTGCCCACCTAGCAGTTTGAAAGCATGCAAATGCGGATAGATTAATAGGTGCCACTTCTGTGGGAAGGTAACAGCATTCTGTGCATTTCACTGTGCAGTCATGCTGGCCACATGACCACAGGAATGTCTTTGGATAGCTCTGGCTCCCTCGGCCAAGAAACGGAGATAGCACCACGCCCTAGATTTGGACACAGCTGAAAAGGTGAAAACTTTACCTTTACCTTTTATATAGGTTGTAAGTCAGTTTTTTCAAAGCCATTGTAACTTTGAAGGGTTGTCAAATGAACAAGTCAAGGACTACTTGTAGGTCACTTTCCAAAGTATCAATAAAGGAGAATATTTGTAGCTCAGGTTTGAAGTGAGGGGTCCTTGCTGCTCTCTGAACTTGGTTGTTTTCTTGCAAACATTTAATTACCCAAATTAGGTAACATCATCAGTGCTAGTCAGCCAGTGCTAGCACTGATGTTACCTAATTTGGACAATGAAACGTCTGCAAGAAAACAACCAAGCTCAGAGAATATCAAGGACCCCTTATTTTCCAATGTGGACCCTAAATCATCTACATATAACAATCATTCAGACATTTTCCAGCTTTATATACTGAGTTTTAAAGATGAATCATCATTGGAATCTATAGTTCATCTTGTAACATTAGCAATTCCAAATTTAGCAGGAACTCCTTCACCTAGCATTGTACGACCAGGAATTAAAGCTGCTCTTTTAAGTATTTTCTCTCAGGTCAGTTTTCCTGCCATCTGTACAAGAATTAATATTCAAGCTGAATTGTTCGTGCAGACTTAAATGGTAAATACTAATTAAATTTGTACCAGCATCCCAATCGTTATCTCACTGGTAGAACTCAGATTTAGATTCTCAGATTTCTAAATACAGTATGGTCATTATTTTCATCTACTTCCACACAATGGTTTGCTAGTCAGTTTAGATGAAGCACAATGCAATGTGACCTGCAACAGCTGCTCTCAGTCCAGCTATTCTTTTACTACCATGACATAATTCTGAGTCTTTGTTTCAAGATACTTTCCAGCAGAGACAAACATAACTTGGGAGCCTTGCCAAGCAGCATTTAGACTCATCCTTTCTAAAGATCCCCTTTGAAATAAACACATCCTCCCAGAGATTAAGATTAGTGCTCTCTCTTAGGGTTCTGGAAAGTTTTGAAAACCTGCCTTTGGTCCCAGGCCTGGATTGATTCTATGATTTGTTCAATGCCCCTTGTCTTATTTTGTTGATTTTGCTGTCCATTAGATTGTTTCAGTCTGGGTTGTCTACTCGATTTTAATGTTTTTGCTGCTTTTATGTTTTTTTTTCTAATTTTGTATGCTGTCCAGAATCCATTGGAGTGGGGTGGCCAATAAATTTAAATAAATAAATAAATAAATACCAAAAGCAATACATTTACTGCATGTTCCTTAGTATCACTGGAAAATCCCCATTTGGACTTCATGGTGTTTTAAAGAAAACAACAATGTAATAAAACTGAAGTACTATATGGAGTACAGTACACTGCAACTCTCTATATAAATTGGAGAGCTTTTTAACCTTAATGCTTTAAGAGCAGAATGCTTTTAAAAGCAGCAATTTCAGAAAAAAGACGGCAGATTTTATGTATGGACTGCTGACTACCCTACAGTTGTCAAAATAAACTAAGTGAGGATGTAAGATACTAAGGACATTGATTCTTCTATTTTTAAATATCTGTCATCTTAGAAAGTTATAACAGACACAGTGAAGTCTATTCCCTAACTCATGATTTCCCTGTTTTCTGATTTACTGTGATTTAGTCAACAGCCAAGGATGTTTGAAGATTTATTTCAGTTTTATGAAGAAGCTTCATCCAAACATACTGTACTTGGGGATTCTCAGTATAAGTAGCAAAATTTTGTTTGTGGAGACAGCATCTTATTAACAAAAAAGATATCTCTGACTAGCTCACCTATTTATTTTGTAGAGAAAATATCTCCTGAAATCAAACTATAGTATCTGGAAATACAGCATGACTTCACTTTGTGAAACAATATCAAAGGGTTAACAAAGCAAAACATTCCATTGCTGGAATATATTAAAAAATATTTAGCACAACATTAATTATGCTGTGTAGAACCTCTGAATTAAATCTTCAGCAACTGTAGAAAAAAGATGTCTTAGCATGGAAAAGATTCTATTTAGGAATTCACTGATGTTTCTCAGATGGATAGAAAATAGAAATAGTAAAATAGTATTATGTTCAGACAGCAATTAGCATTCTAGCATTTAGACTCCACCAAGTCCATCATATCCTATCTAGAGGCTTGAGGAAAATGTGTTCTCCAGACATGTCCAGAATTGGAAGGCTATTACTTTCTTAATACTTTCAGATAGAAAGGATACATTTGAGACTATAAGATAGTTACCCTGCTATACCAGGTCAATTAAAGTTTTCTTTAATAATAACTTTGGGGGGAAAAAAACATTTCTCCTCATAAGGCAACTTTTATTACTTTCCTTAACAATGGGAGCCAGTTCTCCTCTGGCAGATTTAATGAACCAAAATGAGTGCAAAGTGAAAGAAGCTCCCATCTCTCCAGACATCTTGTGTACATCCCTGAGATTCACAACCCAGTAAGACAAATGGTTGCCATGGTTACCTCCTGATCTCAAGTTGAGATGGAATTGAAGAAATATCTGCAAAAAATGTGGTAAATTTCTTCCCCAGCACTCTGGGGGAATAGCTACAAGACAATATGAAGTGAAATGTTGGCTTCTTTTTTGAAAATGCAAAGGAGGCATAGAAACAACTGCACTGACTTCCATGGTATTGCTTCAAATGGGCTTTAGTTTGTGGGATCCATTTGGAGATTTTCTCCATATTCAAGCTGTCACCACTGCCACTGAGTTGTCCTCACCCTCCTCCCGTTATTAGGTACCTTACTTGGCTCTGCGAATGGAATGAGAATCTTTATATTAATAGTATTTTCTGATCCAACCATTTCCACACTCCAGAGATCTAGCAGGACATTGACAGTCTCACCAAAACAGGAAACCGGAACATCTCCAAGCACATTCTGGAAAATACTGGGCTCTATCAGTAGCTGAAGTTAACTATTTTACTTCAAAGATTAGTCCTGCAATCATACCTATCATCCTAAAGCTGTCCAGAGGAGAATCTGCCCACAGGAATAAAAGGTTATCGATCCAGAAATCAGGTACACTTGAACTAAGCACCAGATCTAAAGACATAGATATCTATTCACAAGCAAGGCATTAACTGGAATAGGTCTATGATTAACATGACAGAACTCCTGAGCTGCTTCTGAAAGGGAACTTTTGAGAATCTACCATTACCCATGAGCTAGCTCAGGAAGCAGGCAGAGAGAATCTCAACTTACTAACTATCCTGATTTGGTTTTACAGTTGCAGCAGTATGCATTTAAAAAAAATGATCATCTATTTTAGATAGATGTTTGAAATTCCATCTTAAATTTTTATACATTAGTGTTTTTCAAACTTTTCATGACAATGAAATATATAATTCTTTCTTATGAAAAAGGAGGAAGGTAAGGAATATGAAAATAGCATAGTATCAAGTGGGGAAACCATACTGGACAAAAAACATTTGGTTGTCATTTTG